GGTGGAAGAGTGGATGGTCCTACTGAGGCTGCTGGTGGCAGGAGGAGACAGCGGGCACTGCTGAGTGCCCCGGTCCCACCTCGCGTGGGCAGCTCGAGCGTCAGGGCGAGGGGGTTTGATCCTGCTTCCCAAAACTTCCCTTGACTTGGCGCAAATCCTTTTGGATAATAAAGCAACGCGGCTGCAAACTGTTCCGGAGCAGGATTTCTGTAGTTTTCTTAGACAACCTTTTTCATAAAATCTTACTAGAGGCCTGCCTTTGCTTTATATTCTAATGCATTAAAAAGCATTATTGTAACTGCAGAGAGTGACTCATGCTCCCTCTTAGTCAGCAAGGCTCCCTGGCAGTGACTGATAGGGCAGCAGTGGCGAGGCTGCTGGCTGTGCACACGCAGTGGTTGTTAATCCTGCTGCTTTGCAGCCCTCTCGCACTTCTGGCAGCTTCTTCACTGCAGGATGGAGGGTGCTCTTCCAATGTATGTCCGAAAGGAAGGCAGTTTCTCCGTGCATTTGGGAAGACCTTCCTTCAGATTCTTGAGAGTGAGATCCTTGATTTCTCCCTGCCTCTTGAACGATGGGATCTTCCCTGTACTTTAGGTCCAAGTTTCAATCCGGGATTCTGCTCCGAGTTCAGATCCAGGCTCAGTTGCCTGGGAAGTGTCTCCATGCTGATAGCTGGATTTTTATTCTTGCCTTGTCATAAACCTTTCCAATGCTGCTGGTCATATGCCAAATCTTCTGGTACTGAGCAAGCTGTGTAGTCTTTTCTGCTCCATACAAGTATGTAGTGTGTGTGTGTGTGTGTGTGTAAATATATATATTATATATGTGGGGACACAAGGGAGCGTGGGGATGCAGAGCTTCCCAGCGTACTAAGGGGTTTTAAGTAGTTCATGAGAATTAGATCTGGGTAGGAGCAAGGGGATTGGCAGTGCAAACAGAGGAGAAAAAATGATTTGGGGAGTGAACACTAAATCATGCACAACAAGAAAAACCTTGGAAAGTGCAATGCTAAAGAAGTGGTAGAAGGGGCATGAAGGCAGGTAATGCTGCCGGTAGTTAAAATGTGTAATACAATAATCATCAGACCTAGTTCTTTTTATGTGTCCGTTGCTTGTGGCCGTGCCAGGTTGCTAAGCTCATTTGTGCTCGTTAGCATTTCCTGTGCTCTCCTATATGTGCCACTTCAAAACAGCCTAGGWGAGGAGTTGAATAGCTGACAGAAAACCCCGCAGATTATTGCAAGCAGAAATTCTCTTTTCTTCCAGGTCCATATTTAAACCCTTTATTTTTGTCGACGATGTCAAATTAGTACCCAAGGTGCAGTCTCCTTCCTTCGGTGATGAGGATCCTGCTAAAAAGATACCTCGCTTCCAGGAGAAGCCCGACCGCAGGCATGAACTGTACAAGGCGCATGAACGGGCCCGCTCCGTCCTCGAGAGCGACCAGGTGGGTGAGACCTGCAGGGCTTGGCACCTGCCACAGTTCAAGAGTTGCATTGCCTCCATTCTTTCCCCTAGCATTTTCCRTTAAAAACACAGGTCTAAATTAAGGGGAAAAATTGTAGCTTGCTAACGTCATAATTTACTTAAGTAAAACAAGGCTACAACCTGCTAAAGGTTTTTCTAAACATTTTTAAACGTGTTGCTTCTGCAGCAACGCTGAGTCAATGTGCAACGGTCTCCTATAGCATCTGAGTTTGAGATGCAGATTTTTGAGTTTATAGGAGATGCCAGTTCAGGGCCATTATTTAATCCAAACCTACTGTTTCTGGAATTCAGTTTTGAAAGCTGCAAACAAAGCAAACAGCACTTCTTCAATTACCCTGCCCCCTCCCCTAAAGAACTTAAGAAGCTTTAAATTCTGGATAAAACAAAATGATACCTTCCTCGGGAATAGGTTTCCTAYCCGGCAAAGTGAAGAGAAGCCAGAATGGTACTCGGCCTTCCTGGTATCTGGAGTCCTACTGCAGTTACATCCCACACCACTCACACAGGTCTAGCCATTAGCTTTCAGGTAAAGATGGTGCTGATCTGAAGGATCCATGTACAACCCTCAGGGCTTCTAGTCACCTCAAACAGTTGTGTTTGCTGACTTGTTAGCTTAAAGGCTTCTCGTGTATAATGCTTATACTCTTTTCTGCTCTCCATCTTTCTCTCCTGCTTCCTTCCCTGCTTTAAATACGGGAACTATTACTTTGCTTTTGCTTTTAATATATAGAGTATGAGGCATGTTTGTTCATAGCCTCTGGCTGCCCCCCAAAATGTTAGCAGAAATAATCTGTATTCAAAAAGGATGGTTTTTGCATCTTTAAAGACTTGAAAGGCACCCCATAAAAAAGTGAATAATAAGAATACTGAAGGGGCTAGTGTAAAGGTTAATTCAGTTTGGTTATCTCCTGCCTTTAGGATAAAGGCCAGAAGCTCATGAGGATTATGTTAGAGCTTGAAAAGCAAGGCTTGGAAGCGATGGAAGATATTCTTACTCGTGCAGAGATCCTGGATGCTGCTGAAGTAGTGGATCTTTTCTATGACTGTGTTGACACAGAACTCAAGTTCTTCAAATGAAGTAAGCAAATGTTTTTATTCCTTAGATCCCGAGTTTCTGGTAGCAGCCAGTATCAGCGAATGCAAGATATTGGATCCGATTCGGAGCTAAGGGCTTGTAGGATCCGGTCCAAAGTAACTTTTCTGTCTCACTGGGTTGTGCCCCAAGTCCCTTTTCCCTGTATCACATTGTGGGCAGTTTTTTTGCTTGCTTGTTTGTTTTCTATCTCACTGTTACTTGGAATCAATTTTAAACCGATGTTATCTCGTTTCAGCCACAGTGGATACTGTTAGCCTTTTCACAGGAAGACTGCATAGTTCTCCAGACCTTGAGAGAAAGTCTTCACGCTTGTGAATTTGCAGGAAAAAAAAGAACATTTCTAGAGGAAAAAAAACACATTCCTTGGTAGCTGTGTCTGGTTAACAAATTGCTTTTCTTTGTCCAATTATGTGATGTTTCTGTTTGTGTGTGTGTATAGTGAAAGGAGAAAGTCACTGACTGGTCCAATTACTGTGTGCATGCTGGCTAATTTAGTACAGAATGTCTAAATATGTATGTTGGGCAACCAATTAAAGCAAAGATTAACTTCATCAGGGTAACTGCCATATCGTCATTGAAAGCAAACTATTTTTTCTCTATTGCTCAGGGCCAGGCTTGCAGCAAAGCTAACGAGCATTGTAGTTTTTTTCCCTTCTTGCTAACTCATACGAAGGATGGTAGTTGATATCCGTGTTTTAAAGGGGCTGGGAGGTAAGTCCTGGTTCTTGAACTTGCTGCACTGCTGTATGTGAGTGTAGTGACTCAGCAGYTGACGTTATGCTGTAAAAAGGGCCAGTTTGGTCCCCTGGTTTAGCCCTTACCTGCTTCCAGCTTGAGGTAGCTTGTGTGTCTATAACACAGCTGGCTCCTGCTGCTGGGCAGGCTAGGCAGAGCCACCTAGGACAGCTCAGGAGCCTACGTGCAGCCAATCCACAACGAAGGGGCAGATGCTGCGTGTCGGTCAGCGCCTGACTGTGGTCCCTGTTTCTCTCTTCGTGCTGCTCAGCAGTTCCTCACGCTCTCGGGGGGCAGCATACGTGGCCAAGGAGGGCATTAAGGGCCCATGAGTTCATGAGGAGTGTGGCAATCCAGCTGTCTCTGTTCGCCTGCTAAGTACAGTTCTGCAGCCCACTTCCCTTCCTTAACAGCTGGACTTGTGTGTGTAGTTTTTTTTTCCTTCCAAAAGTGAGATGGGACCTCCATCCTATTTTTCAGTAGGAGGAGAAACAGACAAGTCTGTGCTTTTAATAGGTAGAAACTGGCATACTGAGTTCAGATCTCTCATCATTCAGGTGTGGGGATGGTGACAAATCACAGGTTTTTGTGGAGGCAACAGCTCCTCCAAAACGCATCAGCATCTCAACTTCAAACTGTGAGGGAGTTGTGCGTTAGGGAAATACTCTAGACTAGATTTTTGTCTGTTTTTTTTTTTTTTTCTTTTGTTTGTTTTTTGTCCACAGTTAAGTAAATGGATTTCCCATGAAGCCCATTTGCGGAATGAAAGGGTGCTTTGGATGAGAAGAATCCTCGTCAGTTTTTTAACATGTGGCTGGGATCCCAGCAGCCTGCTAGGAGCCAGGTACTTGCGAACAGGAGAGAACAGAGGTGAAATGATTGTGTGAGCAGAGGTTAAGAGATTTAGACACGTCACTTCCTAGCGCTCCTCTGCACAGCTCAGCCTTCCAGCTTTTGGGGACTGGAGGGAGACAAATGCCATAGGAGGGTGTTTCAGCTGGCAACATCATATATCTTATTTGCCTTCTGCTTAAGAGACAAAACAGCAACATCTGCCATCAGCTTGTGGGGGTTTGTCCTTCTTGGGAGCTCTTTATATGCCAAAACTACAACTTGCTTTGGCCCAGTGATCCAGGCGAATCCTAGCAGCGTGTGGCTTTTGCTTCAGTCTATAGTGCATCAAAAAAAAAAGGTAACCAGTGGGCTCTAGTAACATGCTCAAGTGCACGTTGGATGCAGGACTAGCATGGGCCTAGTTTGGATACCAGTCCTACAAGTCTGAGAAAACCAGAGCCACCCCCCATTGCCCAAAATTTCTTTTGGTCTTAACTCAATGATGCCGGGGCTCAGGCGGGTGCGGTGGGTACGTGGTGGGATTCACCCGCACTGTGGTACAGCCAGTGCGAGTCCCCTCCCCGTCCCAGCCTTCTGAAGTGTCAAGGGATCTGCAGTGACAAGGACCCACTATCTATTTAATAACACTTTACTAGCATTGCATAAGATTTCACAGTTGCAGATGTGCACAGGCTTTCCAGTTCCATCTCTAAAAGTTGTTGTTTGCTTCTAACATACCGCTAATCATAAAGGAAGAAAAATTTTACTGCTGTTTTTATTAATGTTTAGACCACCTGTCAGAAGACACCTGAATAGCTTTAAAACCCTTATAAAGGTAATTATTACAACTGTATGCAAATTTGAAATACAGATGAGAACCAGCAATAAGTCACTTTTAACAGTACTGTAACAAAATATTCTTCAATGCAATATTAAACTGTTGTAGTTTGAGAAGCAGTGTAGGTGCTGAGCCCTGCTTTTTACCATATTTCATGCATRTAGATCAAGTAACTATAATACTGGTGGAAGAAGTACTGCTCAAAGCATCACTTAAAAAAAAACATGAGGAACACCATGGTATCATGATAGGCTACAAAAAGATGACTGACACTCTGAGCATCCAGTGCTTTTCWGCTGAGCTTCTGCAGGGGCGTGGGAGCTGCAGCCCAGCTGAGCTCTTGCAGGCACCAGAGGAAAGCAGAGAGGTGCAAGGGGGCACCCGCCTCTCCCCTCCAGCTGCTGCTGTTCAAAGACATGGCAATAGGGAAGGAGCTTTACCTGTTACCTCTGTTTGTTACAGCTCATCATGAGAGGAATTTAAATTATGTAAATAATCTAAGCCTGACTTAGTACCAGGCTTATCATGACAGAGCACTGTCATTAGTCAAATCAGTGAGGCAGGAACCCCGTAGGGAAATATTTTGCTGGAAACAGACACCTGATGTCCGAGTGTTACACTGGTGATCCGAAGACCTCCCCTCCCAGCTGCACGTGAAAAGTGGAATCTTGAACCTTGTTCCCTGCTAGGCTGTTACTTTCTCAACCATCTGTATTCAGAGGGACAGCTGCTTGGTGGATTGCTTGTTCTATATGTTGTTTTGGACAATGAATCCTCATTGCTGCTCACAACTTCCTCTTCATCCCAATTGGAAAATTTCTCTTATATTTGTCAATTCCATAACCACTCCGTGTAGTTGGGCTTTCTCAGACATATTCCCTGTCCTGTAAGGCTGTGTGGCCAGGAGGAGGTAGGTTCAGGAACCAGGATCATCTTCCTCTTTGTGCTCGCTGAGGAAAGGACTGTGGGCGCATCTGTGGCTGAGGGTGCTGCTCTGCTGCCATTTGAGCAGAAATGCACAGAGACGATCGCATTAGCTTGTGCTAGTTCATTGGAAAAGAACTGGAGGCTTCTCAAAATAAAAAAAAGGATGATGGAGGGAAGAAAAAAAAATCAGAAAACACACAACTACAGTCATTTAATGCAAAAAAACTATCCTTGAGGTATCATCTGTCAGCCAGATTAAAAATGAGTTGTTTGAACACTACAGCGACTTTAAAGCATGTAGGATGTTTTGCTTWAAAAAACCTCATATATAGAGATATATACAATAATTTAAAAGCCTATGCTAACACTCTTGTGGTGGTCAAAAAGTGTCATTTAAATTTATCTTCCGGTTTATGGAAGTGTTAACATTGCAGCACTTGCAATTCAAATATAATCTCTATGGTTGTAAAGGGCATCCCCTTCTTTTTCRTATATTATCTTGATGTTCTCCATTTTTAATACCAATTCAGACAGCATCAGAAGACTCTTCTCATCTCACATGTGTTCTTAAGGGAGGATTTTTAGAGGGATCTGTAAATAGATAGGAGAGGTTTGAGCCAAGGAAATACATATTTTGGATACATACTTTGCATGTAGCTCCACAGCRGTAAAAACAAGCAAGTAAGGAATGAATAGTGCATTTATCTCCTCCCAACCTTGACCTGATATATCTGTGTAACTGATGCTCATGCTCTGCAGCCCTTTAGTAAAAAAAGTCTTTGATCAAACCTCCTTGCTATATGATCATAAAGGTGCCTGTGGAAGGGCAGGGGGTGGAASCACAGCAGCTACTTTAGACTGACCTAAGCTGCTCTGAAAAGCCAAGTATTGTGGAGGGGAAGAACTTAATGAAGAGTTGGTGCTTAACAGKTGATCTAATAATAAAGAAAATAAAGGGCTTTATACAAAGCCAGAATATAGGCATTAGATTTTAATGCACCTTCAAATGCCAGTTTTCAAAGCTGGGAGTGTGAACTTCTGTTCTTTGCAGTACCCTGATAGTAGGTTTCCAAGCTAAGCCCAAACAAAGCAAGTTTCTGTGATTCCCTACTTGCCTGCAGAGGTTCAGGTACCGAGTGCCTTTGTTTTCAGATGTAAAACACCACGCTTAGGATTTAACTCGAAACATGTGATGTATCATATGGATCAAATATAAAATTTCTTATAGCACACAGTGTAACAACCTTTCTTTTGTGATTTCACAAATCTATGAACAGATAAACCAACTCACGAGCAGGCTGTTTACATTGATTTCAACGTCAAGGCACTCTGTAGCWTAATGCAAAGAATAAAATTAAACTACATGTCAACCCACTTCATTCTTTTGATACTAATATTTTAAAATGAAAAAATAATTCATTAYTAAATCTTTGGTCTTCATTATCCCCATAACAAATCCCATTCCTCATTGTATACATGTTAGCAACCAGCTGCTTATAGTGATACTGGTCTGTGTTCCCTATGTTCATTCCCTGTTTTTAATGCTACTGGACAAGTATCAGAGCTGCTCRCATTTACACACTTACCTCTAGGTATTTTGCTGGGATAAATTTTCTGAAATGGCTTGAATTCCTCAGGTGGGGGAAAATCTTCCACAGAATGGAAGGTAAATTTAGATTCAAAGTCATCTGTTAAGTTTCAGAGAAATAACATTGGTCATGGTTAAATATTATTAAAAAAAAAAAATTCCTACAAGTAATTTCAATTCAAAGTGCTGAAGAATTTTCCCCTGCCTCTCTCAGTGGCTCGCTTCATGTAAGGAATCGAGGAGGGTATTTCTTGCGCCAGAATAGTAGGATGGCTCACACRTGCTCACACGTGCACACAGTACCCTGAATACTGTTGATTTTTTRACACTGATGATGCTGCAGTTGTTGATGCATTCTCAGATGCTTTTAGAGTAATTTAGARGAAAGCAGAATGAAGAGCCAATTAATCAGACCCCCAAACCATTCTTACCAGCATCCATTTYATAGGACTGAAGCTACTAAATGAGCATGAACAGTTTTTGAGAACAGTAACGTAAGCACACTGCAGAAACTTTTCACCATCCTAAAGCAGCAGGCAGCACATACTCTTCTTGTCTAATTGATGGTTCAAGACATTTCTGCAAAGACTTTAATGGTCTGTCACTGTACAGGGTTATGCAAAAWGTTTCTGTGTGTCTAGTTTTGCTCCCCTGTTCTTGTAATGAGAAAGAGTTTTTTGGCAGGTGTGAAACACAGCTTTTGGACTTAAATCATTAGATTTAGACTATGTTATTTAGCTACTATTACCAATGAGATGCATATTTCCATTTTTAAGAGGTGGATAAGGGTCATGAGCTGCCGCCCAGGCTGGGACTCCAGACTTGCTTGTGAGTTCGGTTGTTGGGGATCTTGCTGGTGGTTGTGGAGGCGTCATGAGCTTCCCAGCGCCAGTTCCTTAAAGACAGGGAGCAGAGCAACACTTAAGGCCCACCATGACTTACCAAAACCAACAGTAAGCGCTGCACAAGAATGGACAGTGTACAAGGAAGGCCGTATTTCACGMAAACTTGCCAGGGATGCGTCTCGAAGGGTAACCACTGTTGGCCAAGCCTGGCCATGCATTTATAGCACCAACTTTTAAACTCAGTGACCATTTGAGCTGACTCGAGTGTGCTGTTTCCAGCTCGGGAGAAAGCCTGGCAGTTTGAAATTTGTTTCTGTCCCATCCTGGAGGAGAAGACTGTTTTTTGTTGGTTTTTTTTTTTTTTTTTTCCCAGTTTTCACATGAATGTATTTGTTTCGAAAGAATCCCGAGGTGGTGTGTCCAAAACAAAATAACGTTCTGGCACTCTGGCAGCGTCTCAGTGGAACTGCTATTACTCCTACGGATTTCATGGAGCAGTTGCAGGGGCTCCAGAGCTTGGGCCTCCAGCACAGCCCCACCACATGAAATGCCAACGGGGCTCCCAGGTTAGYGCCCTCCCGAAGCTGCCTCTCCTTCTGGGTAGGCAGGAGAAGGGCAGACTGATCTGATGGGAATATCCATCAGGAACAGGTGTTTGGACAAAAAAGCTCATCAAGCACTTCCTGAGCATCGTTAATCTCTGTCTCTAAGCACCCGATCTCCTGCACCCGCATGGACTTTCCCGTTGCTGTCAAGGGGAACCAGCAATTTTTCCCTCGACACGTGGCTGCTCAGATGCAGGGAACAGAACATACTCTTCAGATGTTCCTTATTAAGTAGCTGTCTGTCTCTCTCAAACCCACACAAACCTTTTTATCCTCATTTGACGAGAGAAATCCAAGGCGGTTCCACTTCCCATCTGCTCCAGAAAAGGGCACCCAATACCCCCCTTCCCCAGCAACAAGGGAAACCCTTGGCCCTAGATCACAGCAGGCACCGGCCATCCCATCCATGTTGGTCGTCACCCATCYACAGCCGGGCATCCCCCAGCGTGGCTTTGGTCGCTGGAGCCACCCGAGGGCCGGGCCCCATGCCCCACTGCGGCCTTCCTTGCCCCACAGCTGCCCTCCTCACCCCACTGCGGCCCTCCTTGCCCCACAGCGGCCCTCCTCGCTCTCACCTGCGCCTCGGGCCGGGCGCCTCTTCCTGGCGTCGGGCGGCGCGGCGGGCTGGGGCGGCGCGGGCGCGGCGGGCAGCGGCAGCGACTGGATGTGGGGCTTGTGCAAGTGCGAGAGCAGGTGCGGGGACTTGGGGGGCAGCGGGGGCGGCGCG